GACAAAGGCCAGATGTTAGTGGGTGTTAGAGGGGGTTTGACCAGTGGAAAAGGGCATTCTTCACCTTTAAAAACCTACAATATTACTATTATGCTCGAGCATAAATATGTTCCACAGATGGTTGACCTCTGCAGGAATGCTTTAGATTAGATGTTTTATATTTTGTGTTGGGAGTTGCCATTTTCTCTGGTGTTGTGATAATATGAAACTTGAGAGTGTGCACTCTCATGATGATAAAGGAACTTGTTGTGACCTAGACTGGTGTCTGTTGTTTCAAATGTAAACAATGTGAACTTTGGTTCAGACCATGGTCCAGACTTTCAGGTGTAAAAATGTCCTAAAGTGTGTGGATGTGATCAATGGATAGATGGACAAACTATTTTGACACTGGCAGAGAATTATTTAAGTTACATGCTGTGCGTAATAAAGGGGTGAATGCATAGCAAACAGCAGCCTCATGGGTTTGAGTATCTTTGTTCAACTTTACACTGTTTACTATGTTAGAAGCAGGAAAACAAAAGTGTAAGTAAACTTGCTCTTACCCTCCAAACATTTCAGAAAAACTACAAAACAGCAGCCTCACAGTGACTCTGCTGTTTGCACGTTTCTCCTTTTAGAGATGACACTTTGAGGTCTGACTCATCTCTGTACTTGCATGCACGGTCTGAAATCATATATCTAATATGAGAATTGGTACTTTACAAATGTACAAAAACTTTTCTTACGCTCCAGCGTCTCAGTGTGTGCAGCTGCGTTTCATTCCTAAATCATTTTCTTTGTGCTCTCCAGCTGATGAGAACAGACTCTGTAACATCTGTACTTTGTCTGCTCGTGTCACAGCTTTATACAATTAGGGCTGCAAAAAGTTTTATCAGACATGACCTGAGAGACCTCATGAATTATTGTTAGCTGGGGCTGGGGCTTATTTGTACTTTGTTAGTGGGTAAAATCAAAATCTGACACTGATACAGTTTTTAAAAAAACTTTGCTGTAAATAAAACCAAGGCAGTGAATATCTACCAATACTAATTCCACAAACATCTGTCTGTCTGTCTGTCTGTCTGTCTGTCTGTACATGGAAGTTATATCCCACAAACTTATCAGCCTAACAATTGGTATGTGTATTGTAAATGATGCAGGAAGTGCAGTTTGGACACCAAATCATTCAATATTTACACAAACAGAGGGTGACCACACTGTGTAGCAGTCAGTGGGGCGAGGCAGTGTTTTAACACTCAGTCTGGGGACTGAGTTGAACATGTCTTCTTCTAAGTCCTCACATAAAGTACAGTAGTGTTTAGCAACTGGCAGCCAACAGTCAATCATTTCTGTCCCGCCCAATCATTTTGATTAATTTTATTTCACCATATCGGACTGAAACAGACACAGGTGCTGATCTCCGTCATGGCTACAATATTCATAGAATCACTGCCTGTTTGGCAAATTGTCCTCAAAGTAAAAGCATTGTTTTGTTGCTGTAATGCTTTACAGAGCTTTTATTTTTGAAAATGTGAAACTTGGCTCTGCAGTTTATGTCGATTGCTTAACAGACATGCAATGAAAAAAATATCAGGAATTTAGTATATAATTCAAACTTATATAAAAGCCACACACGTAAACAGTTACAAAACTAATTCAATTTGGTTTCATGAATAATATCTTCATTACAGATAAACCAGGTAGGATGAACACAAAGTTTTCTAACTTTACTCTGCACCATAGACTGTTGCTTAACACAGGACAAGTAAACAGACCATTCCATACAGGCAGGTTTAGAACAGACACTGCATGAGAATAAGATAATTACAAGTTACAAACAATACTAAAACATATTTACTTTACTTCCAGTATAATCAGTACTGTAATCTAGCACTGTTCTAATTCTGAATAAAAACCTTTGGAGTTCAATAGTCAGGAGTCATAAATGTAAGACTTTGAAGAGACTCAACATTTTCTCACTTCCTTACCTGTGCTGCCATGAGAGATAACTCCAACATCCCTGGATCGATGGTCGCCAGCCTGAGTGTGTGAATGAAACACACTTGTTTGGAAATGGAGCGTTGTGATGATAAGGAGAAAGAAAATAGAGTGGAAGCTTCTCCAAGAAGTGAACCGAGCTGCAGGGCTCCACCGGATGAGCACAGTTGTGGATGCGCTACATACAGACACGATGAATGAGTTTATTCACTCTGCACATCTCCCTCTACATTTCTCTCTCTCTCTCTCTCTCTCTCTCTCTCTCTCTTTCTATGTATAGATGTGTATGTTGCGGGGGGGCAGGGGTAAAGTTGTACTTGGAGCATGCCTGAGAAACCACGCAGAATTATTGATGCTGGTGTGGCTTCAGCACATAAATTCGTTTTGACACTGCTAACGCCGTGTACATCTTCCTGCCGTCACTTTCCTTTGGCTGAAATTCATAATCCCAATGGTGCTTGAATTATTCATCTGCATTTTCATTTACATTAAAATCATTTCTGCACATCACATTGTTTTTATATCTCTTTCAAAAATGTTCGCATTAATAACATTTAACTGCTGTGTAAAGCATGAATAAAATAATGATTTAATTAATGATATAATTAGTGTCAAATGTTTTCATTTTAAGTCTCTATTGACAGTTTTTAGCTATTTTTGTTTTTATTACAGCCTTTAAAAATGTATTTTATGGTATTAAATTGTCAGCATTCGATTTGTATTATTTTCATCATTTTGTCATTACATCATTTGTGAAGCACTTTGAACTGCAGTAACCTGTATGAAAGCTGCTACACCAATAAAACTGGACTGATTGAACAGCAGAAAATGTCAGTGAATGCGTCACGTCCTGCAACTGCTTAACCTATAGTATCCATCTGGTATATTTTATATGATGGGTGAGGGGCACCTCATAATATACAGTATAAACTATATACATACATATATACAGAGATAATTATACAGTCACTGTTCCTTATCAAATGTTCAATTCATCTGTTTGTTCACATGGTAAAATCTTGGTTGCAGAAAATAGAATGAATTAAGTTTAGGCCTAAATGCATGAAGACCAGAACTCAGGTAGGAGTGGGGTCATGAATTCACTACCCACTGAACTTAGACGACTAATAACTCTATTTTCTTTGCTCATTTTCTTTTTTATTTCTATTCTATGTGTCTGGTGTTGTTTCTTTCTTGGTTCAAAAAGTGCTACACAAATAAAGTTTCTACATAAATTTGCTCTGAGATGAATCAGATTTAAGTGTTTCTGTGTGAGTATCAGCAGTCAGGCACGGCTGAGGCTCCTCTTTTTCCTTCTCATGTTGCTGCATTTAGCTTTTATTTAACTTCTCCACCTCATCCAAGCTGAAAATGTTTCTGTGATAGTTTCACCTCTTTTCAAATCACCCACATTTACACTAAAGACATCTTCCTGTATATACAAATGGGCTCAAAAGATTGTATGTTAAAATACCCTGCAGTGTTGCTCATATACAGTCAGGCACACATGTATACAGTATTTGTTTATGTATGTATACAGTTTATGTTTGTACAGCTTATGTTTGGGCTTGAAATGAGGTTGTGTTATTGAATTTAATTTCAAAAGACAGATTCACCCTGAGCCGCTCATGTGTATCCAGTGTCACTGCACACCAAGCTGTTAACTGTAGTCCTCTATTGTACTCTCTGTGGCCTTGGGAACAATTACTACTGCATGAGGAAACCCCTTAAAATAGTCTCTGTTCTGGATGTGTGTGTGTGTGTGTGTGCTTGTGTGTATGCATGTGTACATGTGTGAGTGTGTGTGCATACATGCGTATGTGCTTTAAAAGTCAGTACAAAAAAGTGAATGTGTGTTTATGTGCCCTATATGTACATATGAGTGTGTGTGCATTTTACACAGGACAGCTTAAACACAATGAGCAGCTTTTTATGCACAGTCCATTCAAATAGAGATGGTCATTTGTCCTGAGGGCCACACGAGTCCAGCTGTCAGCAGAGACACAGATCCACAGTCCGTTTAATCAAAAGAGAACCAGAGAGGACAGATTAGCACTGATAGATGCAGGAAAGAGACATTTTGGGGATTTTTCTTTTTTTTTTACTCGATTTGTAAATGAATGGGGTTTAGTTGTGTTATACAGGAGTAGTGTCTGACTGAGATGAATCTACAGGCAGTGTTTCTCTGTCTCCTGTTATTGTGCACCATTCTTTACAACACATCCACTCTCCATCTGTCTACAACAGCTCTTTGGCACAGATAGAAAAAATAACACTTTTATGTCACTTTTTTAAAAACATGACTGTTACTTGCTCCCTGAAGGCCCTACACACACACAGACAAAGCTGAGTAACTTTCAAAGGCTGCTCTTTGCCTGTTTATACTGTGCACCCATTGTTTTGCTTGAATATATAACTATTCAGTTTTTTTTTTGTTTTTGTTTAAATATGCAGGATCAATAGTTTTTTTATTTGCTAAAATCATTCAATTATTTTCCCCAAACTCTGCTCAATTGTCCCCCATTTGAAAACCCAATTGTATGTTTTCATATGTTACAAATTGATTATTTTGATAAGATATGATAAAATAAGATATTTCTTTACCAGTCCCACAATGTTTTGAAAATTGCAGTTACAGACAAAAAAAACGTTGAATTAATAATCAATAAACGTGCAATACTTATAAATGCATGGACATACAAAAGATATGAACACATAAATGGAGTAGAAATGATATTTGCAGTGTAAACAGAATATGTACAGTGTGAAAAGATGTGCAGTGAAACTGATCAATACAAGTTAACCAGTTCTGGAAAGAATTCCAAAAAGTTCGAGTACTACAAGTAAAAAAAAAAATACGTTGTTTAGATACTGAAATTAAAAAAAGTACAAATATTTACATCGAAGTAAAAATTTTGATACGAGAAGTCACGTGAGTAGAATGTGGAGGATTGAGGCAGCGTGAGTCCAGAAGGGGGCAGCACTGAGACATCAACTACCATGAACACCGAAAGAAGAAGAAGAAGAAGAAGCAGCAGAAGAAGAAGAAGAAGAAGAAGAAAACGTTGACTTCCGTGTTAAATGTTATAGACGTCTGTGTGCTTCGTGTCGGTGGTGTCTGTGATTTGAGCCTCTTACACAGTCCCGATGGATCCCGCCGCAGCGCAGACTGGCTTCAGACAGCGTAAGTTACGTACGTGAGTCCATGGATCGAGTCCGATTTCACCGTGTGCGCACTTTGAGCCTGCTGCTGTTTCACGTGTTCAGCGGATAAAGCAGCTGGAACATGATGTTAGCTCGCTGCTTTTAGCCACAGATGTTAAAAACAAACCCAAAGAACACAAGCTTCATTCAAGTCCGCCTGCTGAAGGAAGATATTAGCAAATAAAAACTCAAGTGACAGCGTTAGCTTCCATTGAGATCATGAATCAGCTTTGAGCTAAAGCACCAATGCTAACTAACGAGCTAACGCATATAACGTTACACGGGCTGGGAGGATAACGGCAGCTTCTTGTACTTTGAACGACGTGTCTCCTGTCTGCAGGTTCTTGTTGTTTCAGAAATGTAAAATTCATTGAAGACGATCTGTGGTGTAAAGTTAAGCTAGTTGTTTACTCGTGTTAGCTCCTGTTTACAAGCCTCCGTCATTATTTAGTTTGTTTTTTAATTAAATCCATAAGAACTGAGTTTTTATTTCAGTACTGAGGTTAAACTCAGTAGTACATTTGATTGACGTCACCTCTGCGTCCAGATGATCATCTATCATAAGTAGGCATCTAACAAGTGTGTAAACAATCAGAGGATTCAATGTGGTTTAACATATTACTTCTCCACAGCCACACACTCCTACTTATACTATTAATAATAGTGTGATTAGTGATTATGCAGCACTTTTCAAACCACTGTTACAAAGGGCTTCACACAACAGCAAATCAAGATAAGGGCAGTAATGAAAGAAAATCAAGGAAGTCTTTTTGGTAGAAGTACTTAACCGGAGTGACTCTCTGGGGGAAGGACGTTCTAAAGTGCTTCAACAAGTACACATACAATAATTAAAATAAATAAACAAAGCATAGAATTAGGGAATGCTTTTCGTTAGTCGTGCATTTTATGAATGGACTTGAAAAATGGCACTGACTCTGCCTGCCAAATTACTTGTGTTGTTTTCATGCTTTCATAATAGAGTGGGATTGTGCAGGGAAATTATTTCCAAACTAAAAGTGTCTGTGGCTCTTGAGGATGATGTAATCTGCTCTTGTGATAAGTATGTGATGAAGTGATTTACTCCTTCAGGGAACAGAGTTTAAGAGCGCACAGAAATGTAGGTAGAGATTACATTTTGCTAAAGTTACTTTAAGCTATATAAGCTTTATAATAGCAATGTGGGGACATGGGTAGTGTTTTATAAAACAGAAAAAAAAGATATGAGAATTCAACAACCTAAAATGGAGAGGGATGCTTGCTGTTTAAAAAAAAAAAATCCTGCATCTGCCTGCTTCATCATCCCTGCTCACTCTCTGCAGCCCAAACATTTCAAACGATTCAAGAGATAAAGATCTGCTCCTTTGTTTGACATTTCTCTTTCCTTTCTCTCATGACATCCAGAGCCTAATATGCGTCTGAGGAACATGGATGGGTCAGATGGTAGAGAGCTGTTTGAGGATACAAGTGGAGCTGGACTTGGACCACAGAGTGGCTACAGGTGAGAGCCCTGCCGGATGTGAAATCACTGAAGCTGCTTTTAGACATGCACTGAACTCCAGATAATCTTCTGACATTCTCCTGCCTTGCATTCCACCTTGTCATCTGATACATTTGTCAATCAAACAAATTGTGTCCAGCTCAAGACACTTTAAACTCTTTTAAAAGAAATTGCAAACAATCTAATTTTTCTTCTGTTTCTCCCGCTGCAATATACATTACATTTAACTAAAAAGTTCCGATAAAATGTCACCATGTTTTTTCAGCTCAAGCTTTTTCTTTACACGTTGGCAGGAATCAGCAGGCCGGGCCACAGGCAGCAGGATTCCCAGGCCAGTCCCTCCTGTCAGACCCCATGTCTAACCTGGCCATGGCGTACGGCAGCTCGTTGGCATCTCAAGGGAGGGAAATGGTGGATAAGAATGTAAGACTGGCCTGCAATGTTATTTTGCTTAAAAAAATATTTTAACAAAAGCGTTCTGAATTGTAGCACATTCACATATGGATGAATAACTGTGTGCTTGTTTGTTTCAGCTGGACAGGTTCATCCCAATTTCTAAGCTGAAATACTACTTTGCTGTGGACACTGTGTATGTAGGGAAGAAGCTGGGCCTTCTAGTTTTCCCTTACATGCACGAGGTAAGTCTGCTTACATGTGCTCAATGTGTGTGAAAGACTATTTTAACGGGGGAAAATGTAGAAACCTGAGAAAAGCCGCAAGTGACTGATCGCTCTCCCAGGAATGACAGAAGTGTAAGAGAGGTTGTTTTTTAGCCTAGAGATATACCCATCTGTCTATGTCCTAACATTTACTCACAAACCAGAGATATTTAGTGGAACTTTGAGATTCTTTAAACGAGGGGACTCGGGGGAGCAGACATCAAGAAGGAGTTTATCTTTCTTCTAAAAACGCATCTCTATTAAAAAGCTTTTATTGTATGATGTCTTTACTCTGATTGTTTGTGAATTGTATATTGTTTGGCGTAAAGCACTTTGTTACTTGTATTGAAAAGTGCTATACAAGTTATTAAGTTAATACTTTGAAAGTGAAGCTGCAGGTAAAATATTCAGGCCTTTAACTTGGAAATACTACATGCTTTCACCCTTGAGTCTGAAGTGTGTGATCACGTGTTGTAGAACTGGGAGGTGAGCTACCAGCAGGACACTCCAGTGGCTCCACGCTTTGACGTGAACGCTCCTGATCTTTACATTCCTGCCATGGGCTTCATCACATACGTCCTGGTGGCCGGACTGGCCCTCGGCACACAGAACAAGTAGGCACACATCACATCCACGTCTTTTTTTACCAAGAAAAGACATAATGCTTTATGATTATTTGATTCTTGATCTCTGCTCTGATATGTTGTAATTTATGCACACCTCAGGTTTTCCCCGGAGCTGCTGGGAGTTCAGGCCAGCTCAGCGTTTGTGTGGTTGATCATGGAGGTGCTGGCAGTCTTGCTGTCCCTCTACCTTGTGACCATAAACACAGACCTCACAACCATAGACCTGCTGGCTTTCTCTGGCTACAAATATGTTGGGTATGGATCATCTCTCTGCGTTGGTGTTTAACTTTACATCAGACTCTCTCTGTTTGTATTATTTGCATTATTATGATTTGATTTGTTAATTTGTATTTCATTTTGCTCAGTTGCTTCTAATTGTCACTTAAATGATGCTAAGCAATAATTTTTATAATTTTCTCAGTTAAAAAAAACTAAAGCTGTCTTTTTTTATTTCTCTTTAGGATGATCGTAGGTGTAGTAGCAGGCCTGTTGTTTGGGAAGCCAGCATATTATCTCTCTCTACTGTGGTGCTGTGCTGCCATCTTTGTCTTTATGGTGAGTATAAGAGCTTTCATTGTTGATCTTAACTCACAGAATTCCTGTTTCCTGAGGATGCTTGGTCAGCCACATTTAGAAACACATGGTTACAATTCAGACTGATCATGATGGTTGACGCTAGCTCATTTGCTTGCTGGAATACATAATTTTTGTTTCCTTATTGACACATCGACACCTTCTCTCCACAGATCCGCACTCTGCGTCTGAAGCTGCTGTCCGAGGCGGCGGCAGAGGGAAGGCTGGTGAGAGGAGCCCGGAATCAGCTGAGGATGTACCTCACCATGTCTATAGCGGCTGCGCAGCCCATCTTCATGTACTGGCTCACCTACCACCTCATCAGATAAAAGCTGGAACGCACACTTGTGCAGGAGATGAACTTGGCTAACCGAGTGCCACCTCACCCTCAAAGAATATAAAAAACACTCAAGAAGAAGAAGCTGGACTTGGATGAAACACACAACAGTTGTGTGGATATCCCTTCACTTCACACAAAGACTCACTCGATGTGAGCACGGAGCAGAACACGTGCTACAAGACGATTCGTAGACGATGTGAGGCTCTAATGCCTTTTCTCTCACAGCACAGCTTCATGTCTTTAGCTTTGCATCGTTATCTTGTCTTTTTTGATGTAACGTCTTCGAAGCCTTTTGTAGCAAGAGCAAGTGGCTTTAAGTTGCTTTTCTATACCTTGTAATTATTTGTAAATGTTTTTTAGGAATATTTAAGTGCATATGTTTGTGTATAGCAAAAGTATTACTGCTGATGTTGCTCTGGTCTGAGATCTCATCAGCAACGTTTCTGAGCCGACAGAAAGAAAAGCACACAAACCTCACACACACACACACACACACACACACACACACGCACACGCACGCACACACACACACACACCGTCCATTTAAATGTAAACGAAGAGCTCAACTCCAGGTTTAAATGTGATCGAGTGGCTCCGCCTCCATGTTGGTGGTTTTGGAAACAAGGATTATCTCAGTGTCACCTCCTGTTTTATATGTTTCTCTGTTTTTTTGTATGTGCTTTGATACATGTGAAAGCTTTGCTCCCTGAACTCTTGGATAGAAATATCAAGAGCCACAGTGACATTAATGTGTAGACGTCACAATGAGAATTTTTCATATCCTTTCTAAAAAGCAGAGTAAATAACTTCCCATTGGAAGTCAGATGGAATAAAGACAGGGAAGAGATGATCTGTGAAAAGTTGTTTTACTCTGCTTGAGATACTTGAAATATTTTAATGTCAGAAATGCACTTAGTGCTTTTAATGTGCTGGTGTCACTATGAAATGTGCTGTCCCTGCTTTAATTTATGTAGCAAGTGTTAAATCAAACCAGGTAGGATTTACATTCACTTCAGTTCTTTCAGGAAACATGGAAACGATGGGTAAATGCTTAAATGCTTCTCCATTAACTGAGGTGCCAATAAAAAAAAATTAAAATGTGTTGTGAAGTGCTCATTGTAGTTGCAGCATCTCCTCAGGCTAATTTTGTACATGCAGAAAGTTATTTAAATGCATTTGTTATGTCTCATTGCTGAGGACTACCAGTGTCCCGAGGCATTATGTTTTCAGGTTGTCCCAGTCTGGTGAATACAATTTTTTAAAAGCTCCTTAGCGATTTTCTATGTATTTTGTGCAAATGTTAACTTGGATTCAAAGATGAAGTGATAAGTTTGGTGTTCAAGGGTCAAAGGCTTTTGGTCTTGTGCAGCAGCTTGAGAGAATTTCTTCAAATTTAGTAAGAAGGTTCGGTTGGACTCAAGAATGAACTGATTATAAATGTGGTGCTGAAAGGTCAAGCTCAGTTACCTCCTGTTCTTGTAAACATGATACATCGTTAACGTCAGAAGATCATTTTATTAGGTCCGTTTGACTTGGTCTGACTGTGGCAGCTGAAGGCGCAAAGTAAAAAATTGTCAGACAAGAACAACGACCGATCTCACAACATTTGCTTTTTTAATTGCAGATTAAAGATGTTTAGGAAAACCCCGTGTATACCCCAAATAATAGAGAGAAGAAGAAGTTGACTTAGAACTTTCTTTCAGGTTCAAATTAAAACAAGTTTAGTTTCCATGTGACGTCAGAATGAGATGAAAATCCTCTTTGGAGAGAAATAGTGAGAACTTTTTTCTTCTTTATAAATTAAAACATAAGAAATACAAGATAAGACACATTTTCACAGCTACTGTTGTAGCAATAGATTGTGTTTTGATGTGTGGGCCTGTGTATCATGCTCTAAAATAATATTTAAACATGAATCTAAAACGACAGTGAAGAACATTTATTGTTTGTTTATTAGGTAACAAATGACAAAAAAAAAACATTTCCCGATGATATACCTGTCAGACACTTTCTTTCTTGTGTCTTAGTTTCCCGCTCTGCTTTTCTTATTTTTGTCCCTCTCTTTCCCTTTATTTCTCTTTCTCTCATCTTTGCTCCGTATTTCTTTCTCTCTGTCTTTATTTCTTTCCCTCCCTAAGTTTATATATAGTTATAGTGCAAGTGTCATCAACCATCACCAAGAGAACTAGGAAAAAGAAAATAATGCAGACGGGGTTTTAATAACTACTGATAATGATGCTACTAAATAACTCCACATTAACTCCTTTCTTAAAAATAATGTTCACCCCAAGTTTCAACACAGTTTAAGACACTAAAATAACACAGTGCAGTGACTAACTGAATGTAAGACACGTAGTTACTTCAGTGTATGGTTTTCTCCTTCTTACAGAAACCTCCTTTGTTATTAATGGCCTGAAGAAGCCTGGTCTTCATGGTCCTCTCCACCGGGTACCTCTGGTAGTTGGGCAGTAACAACAGATAGTAACAGGTGAGGGATTCTGGCAGATGGAGTTCGGTGCTGTTGGCCAAGACGGTGACTCTCATTATGATGCTCTTCATACCCTGGAAGGGTACGCGGTCACAGCCTGTGAGGAACACTGGCCACAGAGACATTAACGAGATGCTGGTTAAATCAATGAATCAATCAACCAACGGGAACAGCAAAAACATAATCATGATACTTACGAAGGAATTTTTTCTTCTCCTCCACTGTCAGTTTCTCAAACACCTCCCAGAAGGTGATGATGGTTGGATGTCCGGCATGATACTCTCCTTCATAAACTGTGTTCTGTTTGTAAAAACAACAATCAAAACATATACACACATACACAACAAGGGTTCTTGATTTAAAGATTAGAAACATGCACTTCATAACATAGTCGTTGTTATTTTTCTGTTATTGTGAGGTAATCTGTGTGAGATTTTAAAATCGCAGTGAGAAAATCCTGAACCAACTATCGCGATCAGACAGATCAGCAGCTGACTTACAAGTCTCGGATGAGTTTTCTAAAGTAGCACAATGTAAGTTTTACTAAACGACACTGCCCTCTGCAGCCTCACATGGTGATTCATTCTGTTAGACTCTGTAAAATAGATCCTATGTATTCTCAAGACTTCTCAAGACTAAATGTCGTCAAATGGTTTTCAACAGACCTGCTTGAACACCTGCCAGTCGTAGTCTTCTTGGCCCATCATCACCGCCTGTAGCTCCTCCGGCTGGAAGAAGTCCACCACATCCCTGTCACACACTTTGAAAAACCCTCTCTTGAACTCTTCAAACACGCCCTCCACCGACTTGTTGAAGGCGTAGTTGAGGAAGGCATCAATGAACTCTTTCCTTTGAATAGAGAGAAATGAGAAAGTACGACTTCAGCCAGCTGTCTACGTGGGGCTGTCACTTTTTTTTGAAATTGAATATTGTGCGTGGGAGTTTCATATTCAAAATTGTACTGCCCACTGAATTCTTAACCTTTTTTTCTCGTTTTACAACAAATTCATGTGATCATTTTATCACAATACAGTCCTGTTATATACTTACTTTTATCAGAAAGTAATTCCAAAAGACAGTAAATCTTTACATGAAATATCCCACTCATAGTGTAGTTTATAATACCCTGTGTTTTTTTTTTAAGGCAACAGACTTTCCCATTGCCAGCAGAGGAGTTTACCTTTCTGTTTTATTTTTAACCAGTGCGTCATGTCATGAGTGAACGCCACAAGATGCTCTAGGTGAGAGATCTCTCACCTTATTGTGTTGCATCTTGCATGATATGAAAAAGAAATTGCTGTAGCACATTTTTCCCAGTACACCAATGTTCATGGCTACAAATCCCCAGAAGTTCAAAATGCCACGCCAGAAAATGTGCAGCGTCAGTGTCTACACTTCCAAAACATTAAAGAAATTAGTGTGTTCACTAATTGTGTGTCATGTTTCCATCAGCTGATAAAAATCTTTTTGTCCAATTGTATTTATGACCATTACAGACAAAAGCCAGATGTTTGTGGGGGGGTTTGACCAGTGGAAATGTGGCTTAACTGGTCTGAAAGCATGCACCCATTTCATTTGTTTAACCTCTAGATGGCAGCAAAATCAAGTTATTTTGTGAATGGATATTGTTGCTTGTCAACATCAGCTTTGCTTTAAATACTTAACAGTCGTGAAGCCGACCCAATTGTGAGTGTTGTGTAGCTGGTTCTGTATTAGCACACCTGTTTGAGCTTGTGACAGGTTTTCCAGCTTCTCTCGGATCAAGCTCAACTTGCTCACCCTCCCAGGCCACCTGTATAAAAAGAAATCATATTTACACTGGAATATTGCAGAAATAGGTTTAGGCAGCAGAGTATCAGTGTGATTAACCAAACCTACATTGAAGGTAATGTCCATTTCTTTGACTTTATCTGGAGTGTAGTCCATCATGCAACGCCAAGACCTGCATACAATGAAATATGATCATGAGTAAAATCAAGATTGTACAGTCACACAGAATGTCATGGTGTTTAAAGTATTATTTTAAGTCTACTTGGGGTTCCAGTTTAACAACAGCTCTGGTTCCAGAAGTAAATTTCCCATTTCTGTTTGAAGCCAGGCCGAACAGCTACGAGATGAATCATGAACATAAAACATTTGATTTGGAGCAAAACAATATTGGAAAACAGAAAAAAGAGGCAATGTACATAATTATTTTAAGAGTGAAGGAATTACAGATTACAGATCCCAAAAAACATTGCACATTATCCCTTTTCAAAGACTTCCAGCACCTCTTGAATTTAACCGTTATTTATATCGTGATCCATTTCCATTGCATAAGTGAGCTCCACCAATCAGGGACGTAGCTACTACACCTGAGGATTCTGGGTAGTGCAGTATTTTTCCTTGACATTGCAAATAAAACAAGTTTTTCTTAAAATGCAGTTTATATATAACATAATTTTACAATCTCATAGGTTGTGGTGAGTCTACCTTGGATAGTTAAAATATTATGACTGACAATCAACATCTTTATTCAAAACAATGTTGCTGTTAAGCTCAATAAGATTTGTGCATTTTAAAAACTGTCTTACTTTGCCATGACAGGGTCGAACTCCTCCATATCATCCAATGAGGGTTTGACCCTGAGCAGCTTCTTGAAGAGAACCAGTGGGAAGGGCAGGTGGACAATGTTGTGGTTGTAAAGAGCCATGCCACACAAAACCCCGAACCGGAAGTAACTCTTCACCTCCACCTTGGGCTGTTTGGTTCGTGAATCAAAAAAGAAAACAATGACATGCTTTGGTAAGATTTGATAACTGTTTACAGAAGACAAATCATACAAATACCAGCTGAACTGTCTTTGGCCTACACGATTTTTCACTTAAATGAAATGCTCTTACTCTGGGAGGGAACCACATCAGAGTCTTGCTGTCATTGTACATGAACATCTCAGACTCAGGAGCGATGAGCTCATCAAACACGTGGAGGAAGAAGTCCCTCTTGTTGACCATCTTCACCTTTCTCTCATCCACAAACTGCACCTAGGGAGGAGAGCGTTTTTAAATGACCCACAGAACACATACCCAATCAGCTCTAAGGACAAATATCCACGCATGGCTTATAGCTCATGGTATTGTGAAGGGACTTAATCAAATAGACACTTCCAAATTTATGACAATTAAATCTAGCCATTCACCTTCAAACAATCCTCTAGTTATTACACCAAATTCTAAAACTTTTGTGAGTCCCACAGGTTTGTAAACTTTAGAGAGTATATAAAGAGGGTCCACACTTCACTTCCTCCCACTATCCAGAAATGAAGCCAAAATATCTGCACAGTAGTGATTGAAGCCGCTGTAGCCAGGTCCCACCGGGACACGCACTTACCAATCGTGAGCAGGTCTCAGCTGTTAATAATGACATTCCACCTCGTTTTTACATAATCAAATAACTTAATAACTTAAATAAATAACTTACTTGATCAGTGTGATGAGAACTACCTAAACTTACAGAAATCATCTTTGAGAAAAAAATGTAAGTGCACTTTTTAGTTTGGTCCATGTCCCATCCACTAACACGGAGAAGGCAGGGCTTATGACCTGTGCTGCAGCCAGCCACCAGGTGATTTAGATGCTTTCGCTTCACTTTTAGGGAGCAGCCATGTCGTCCATCAATAGATACAGTCTGTTGTGAACGTGCAAGGTTAAATTGCTGGAGCAGCCCTTTAACTACCCTGGAGTGATCTAGCGTCACTGGGAAAACTACCGGATTTATTTTCAGAGGACCAAAGCTTTTTGATCGTGTGTTTACCGAAAGCTCTCTTTTGAAGACGCAGTGGTCGGCCGCATCCAGATGTCTGAAGGTGTCTTCGACGAGGTGAGTTCGTCTCAGTGTCAGCTGGAAGGGTGGGGCCGGGGCAAAGTTTGGGGGATTTACCAAAGCATCTCCACTCACCTCCGAAGTCCAGTCAATTAAATGGTACGCTTTCTGTAAGCACAAAATCCTCCTTTATGAAGAAATCTCCACATAGATTTAAAGCAGTTTTATTAGAATTACACAGTATCTTTAACGATACAGTTGTATTACGCAGTGCTGTTGATATTGATCTTCAGTAAAATAATCTAGACTCTATTGTACCTTCATTACATGTGCATGGATGTTGAAGATCCCTGCCTTGCATTCCAGAGTCAACAAGAACGGGAAGCGGCAGAAAATGGCAGGTGGGTCATCTTCAACCTTTGAGAAAGTAATCAATCACTTATTAAGACATTATTTTAGCAGTTAGCACTACAACAGAAATCTAAAACTCTTAAGGACACTGCAACATCACATTTACTGGACTGTATAATTTTACCTCCACCCTAGAAAATGTAAACCACAGAGTAAAGTCTTCGAGTGGCTGCACGTTGTCCCTGATTTCCTCCACATAAAATGTGCTCAGTGGGACTTTGTAGGAATTTCCAGCTCTGTTGGCCTGTAAACAAATATTGTAATTAATTATAGAAGAAAGCATTGCAAGAATCAGATTTGTACCCGGTCAGGTGTCTTTGTCAAATTTCATAGGCTAAGCCAGTGGTTCCCAAATGGTGTGTGTGGCACAGATAGAGAGAGAGAGAAAGAGAGGGAATATATGATATAAGTGGTTTCCACTGTATTAAAACGTTTTTCTTACTAATTAATTACAACTTCACTCTTATAAAATTACAGCATTATTCTCAAAATCTCAGAAGGTTTTTTTCTTTAATATGAACACTCCATCCTTCCAGATCCTGAAGCAACTGGTGATAATGAAATTATCCTAAAAATATGACACTGACCTTGTAAAGTAGTTTGAGAACTTCCAGCAGGTATTTGATTCCCGGGTTGTGAGTTGTCAACAGGCGGTTTTTCAACATGAAGGCAAGGGCGTTTTTGAAGACCAGGATGTGTTTCATCAGGACAGAGGGTGTCACCGAAGACCACCAGCCTCCTGCCAAACAAAATAACACAGTAAATTCACACTGTACGATTTCCTCAAGAGAGCATTGTTGAACATTGAAATTCCAAACTAACTTATATTCTGGCAAACAAACAATGTATCTGTAGTTGTTTACTTAGAGCTGCCAGAGGCTTCTCTTTCAGATTTCCAATGATGATGGCCAGAGGCAGCGATCCCCTCATGACCATTGAGTCCTCTTGGAGAAGAGGGCACGTCAGCAGAATCAGCAGGATCTCTGGAGATTTAAGGGTCATCATCGATTCACCAAGCAAGTCCAAGAGGAGATCAAGTTTCATCTGTGAGAAACAAAAAAAGATAATACAGTGATGTTCACACACTGCATTTGTTTGTATTTGAACAACTCAGTCACAAGTACCAAATGCCTGTGGCCAAAGAGTCTTATGAGTAATGACTGCACATAACAGTGGAGGTTTATTTCTAAAGTCTAAGGCAGAAAACATAAACTGTGGTTGTTTGTCTCCACCAGTCAGTGCAGTTTATAAACTTTTTCTTCCAAACTCATGAGTTCACCGTGACCTTTGGCAACTGAATTCTAATCAGTTCATCTCTGAGTCACATCTGGTCAAAAAGTGATGACATTTTTAAAGGCAGACTTGAGATACCATGTTCAACTCTAAAAACACGTTGGTTGATCTTTGACTCCCCAAATCTAATCAGGTAATCCACAAGTCTAAATCAGCATTTGGGCCAAATTTGAAAGGATTGTCTATCTTAAGATAAAACGTTCACAATGGAAAAACGTTTTGTGAGGTCACGGTGATCTTGAATGTTTGTGCCAGATGTAATTAAATTCCCTAAGTGTTCTTGTTATATCCCATTCCCAAGAACATGAGGTCACAGCCACATTGAACCCTGACCACCAAAATCTAATCAGTGCATCTTTGAGTCCAAGTGAACAAATGTGAAGGAATTCCCCAAAGGCATTCTTGAGATGTGTTCACCAGACCACATGCAGATGGATGGACAACCCAGTGTCTCAGGTCTGCTGCAAGCACAGATGCATAAAAATGATCTGAACCTGTGAAAATCATTCAAAGGAATTTCTTAACTGCTTGTTTGATCCATGGTATTTTCAGCAGCTGGTCAAAAGCTCGGCTCGCAGCTTCCAGGTCCACAGTTAAAGCACCAGCCTCTAATGAAGGCCCACTGTTAACACAAGCAAAGAATTAAAACAAAGAAATAAAAAATACCAAAAACCTTCCTATTGAGCCACTTCCTCCTATTGAGCCGCTTCCTCTAATTTAGCTGCCCCATGGTGGGCCGTGGCTGAGGGGGTATAGTGGTAGTCTTCCCACCAGACGATTGGCAGCTCAAATCCCAGCCCATGCAGAAGTGCCCTTTGTAAAGATGTTGAACCCCTAATGGTCCCTCATAGTTGTTGAATGCACAAAGTGTAAGTTGATTAAAAAAAAAAGCTAAATGACATGTAATGTGCTGCTTCCTCTAATTGAACCACTTCCTCCTATCAAGCAATTAAGGCTTGAACCAGCTCATCACAGCCATTTTATTGTTTTTATTCTTTGTTATAGAAACTTTGGATTAATATCTGGCCCAAGAATTCCCTTCTTATCTTGTCTTATCTGAAAAAAATAACAGAAGTCAGCCAATAAAAGAAAACTTACTTGGCTTTTGTGAAACTTGCAACAAGACTTGTACTTGTCAAAAATATTGACGATATTTCTCTGTTGCACAAAGAGAGAAAAGTATTGGATCAGTCCCAAAACATCAGTTTCTGAACATAAGGCTAATCTTGTATTTTTTGAAAATATTAGGTTTTTTTTAAAACTACCTCTTTGCCTCTTCATTGCCATCTGTCATTGACAGCCATGTTTGCAGCTTCATCTCATCGAGTCTTCCGGTTATCTCCCCCTTAATCTTTAAAAAAAGTGGATATACATTTTAAGACCGCCAGTTTAATAAACATGATCAAATAATTTAAACCTGAAATCAAACATAAAAACATTTGATGCACAGGAACATGAGATCAGTATTAATGTAGAATTTTCATTTATATTAGTATTATTTCTATGAAATTCAGATTACCTGTGCAGGTGAAGAGTAAGTAAAGTTCGTGTTCCACCCAGCTGATATTTTCAAGTCTGCTTAAAGAAATACATGATTATGATTTACGGAGTGACGCCTGTGAGCTAGTTCAGGCAGCCAACTCAAGCTGTGACATACATCATGTGACATACCTCACTCTCTACACTCATCAATAATACAAACCCACCCTATTAGGCACTCTATTTAGGCAGAGAAAATGTCCCATCACTCCCTTTGCTTGCCCCGCTGCTGCATCAGTATTGTTTGCTTCAGCCCCTCCACCACCCCAGCATCCACCTGTAGGCTCCGCTGGGGGGTTACAAGTATTTGCTCATCACTCCCTTCATAACTGTGTAATCCTAAACACAAACCTGTTTTACTGCTGCAATAAATATTTGAAAGCGAGTTGTCTGACTGAAATTTATTTATGTCACATATTTCTTCTAAATTTGCAAAAATTTCCCAAATTTATACAATAATTGAACTACAAAGCCATGTTACTACTACAGAGGAAATGAGGCACAGGAGATATGATCAAAGACACATACTCCACACGGCCCTTATACATACCTGTGGGTATGGCTGCTGCACTGTCAGCGGTCCATGGAAGTTGAACCAGAGTGGGACTCAGATTGTTCTCTGCTTGCCCAGTCCCAGTTTGACCTTTGACCCCATTGCCAAAAGCCCACAGCTGACCAGACAAGCCCAACACCAGAGTGTGACTCCTGGGAAAGAAACCAGATGTATCATAAGTATTCTATAGAGGAATGGTAGATGACTAGTTATATATACTGACTATAATCATACTCATCATCATAATCATAATCATACAAAATAATTGCATTACCCTAAAAATATGTGAAATGTGAAAATGCAGTTTCATTGTGCCAATAAGAACGCGACTCATTTTTACCGGCCACATTGGATCTGTGAAGCAGGTCCATTCAGACCGTCGACCAGTCTGGGTCCCACTTCATTGGCGGAGGAGCTGTGACCCAGCTGACCGTGGCGTCCCTCTCCAAAAGTGTAAACTCTACCATCCTAGGAATCACAGCATTGCATTGTTAAAAGAAGAGATGCCCAGTCATTGGGTTGGTCAATCAAGACAAGACATCGGGATGAGAAGCACACTGAAAAGATCAGTGAAGTTTCTACCTTTGTTAACACAGCGGAGTGAGCTTCTCCACAGCTCATGAAGGAGACACCCAGAGGTCTGAGCGCAGGCACCATACAGATGTTAAACCTGCCTGTTAGTCATGGAAAGAAATGGGCATTAAAAGGACAACATTTTTAGTTTAGATTGACTTATTGATTGACTTATTGATTGATTTATAACTGCCTTAAGATAAAAAACATAATTAGGAGGTTACGCTTGCTATTGTGTTACCATTAAAAGGAAAGAATATTTTAAATAATCCAGAATGTCATTTTCTAGAAAAGATCTAGTGTAAGATTTTTTTTTTATTCTCTCATGAGGTCACAGTGACTTTAATTTAATCAGTTGATCTTTGAGTCCAGAGCAGAGGCATAAAACTCATCTACATTGTCTGCAGGTGGTAAGTGTATGTATTGACGTGTGAAATTCTCCAATATTATGGACAATCTGCAGTTAGGGTAAATGATTTGTACCTTTCTCATCCACCCTGTTGAGCCCCAGCTGGCCAGATTTATTGGCCCCACAGCAGTACACCAGGCCTGAGAGTGTGAGGAACAGGGTGTGGCTCTCTCCGGCTGCTATCTGGGTCACAGGTACGCCAGACAGAGCACACACCAGGACGGGCGTGTGCTGCGAGACCACCTCCTTCCCCAGACCTAGCTGACCATGTCTGTTCAAACCCCACGAGAAGACGTCTCCTCCTGGTAAGAGAGTGCAAAAAAAAAAAAACAGTCTGTAAATTTGCTCTGCAGTGTATTTATTTTTATATTCATTTATATTCATTTATTCCTTGCCATAAGTGAGTCAACCTCAAACAGTTCTACAATATACTGTCACTTTTTATTGATTGTGTGCCAAGCTTTTTTCAAACAGTCTATGGTGCAGAGTGATGTTAGAAAACTTTGTGTTCATCCTACCTGGTTTATCTGCTAAAATAAAAGCTCTGTAATTTAGCTCAATATAAACTATTGCAGCAAAAAACTGAAGTTGTGCTTTTACTTTATAGACAAAAGAGGAAGTGAAGGCCTTGCCAAGACTGAGATCGGCACTCGCAACTCCCTTGAATGTCTGTGTCAGTCCGATATCGTTCAATAAATGAATAAATAGTACTATAGTTTGAACACACAAAAAGGTAATTAGTGTGTTCAGTCTCTTACCTTTAGTCAACGCCATAGAGTGGAAGTTTCCACAGGCAACCTGAATCACTTGTATCCGCAGAGGTATGGGCACCAGACTGAAATAATATGAGACAGTTGAAAATGGAAAACAGCTTTGCTTTCATCACCCACCATCATGGCTTCAATGGTAGTATGCATAATAATTCACATATCACAGGGACTAAATTGCCTTGGTCTGATGTGGGTTGGCTGTGGATTCAACAACATCCCCAGTTGTCCATTCTCTGCAGCCCCCCAGGAGAAAACGTCTCCAGACGCACACAGAGCCAGACAGTGCTCCTGACCACATGCCATCATCACCACATTGCCAAGCCCCTCCAAACGACCTGACACAGGATGATAGACAAGAGAAAAAACACCCTAGAAAGTTAACTTGGGAAAAGAAAATAACTTTTTAACACAATCAATTCAGTCTGGTGTTATCAATGTAAAAACCTGCTGTTCAAAAATTGTGATAAGCTACAACAAAGAGACAACATTTACCGCAAAGACTTGATAGGAGTCCGACTGGCAAATACAAAACTTCAGCATGGTCTAACTAGAAATCACAAACATCGGTTGTTTGTCTCAAACAACAGGACAGTTTCTGTCAACACACATTTTTTTCCAGACTCGTGAAGTCACCATGACCTTTGACCACCCAAATCGAATCTGTTAATCTGAGTCTAAATTAATATTTGTGTGGAATCTCTTTAGGTGTTCACAAGGAAAACATTGTTTTTAAGAGGTCACAATGACCTTGACCTCAAAATTCTTATCATTTTTGATACCAGATATTATTTTCTTCAGGTGTCTCTGATATGTCATGTTCACAGTCACCTTGAGCTTTGACCAAAATCTAATCAGTTCATTCTTGAATCCAACTAAATGTTGATATCAAATAGAGCTGGGATGTGTGGAAAGGAAGGTAGTTTACTCTATTTTGGAGAGATTTTATATTGGATTGTAAAAAGCAGATTAGCAGTTCAGACTGGGCTATTTTTTTGTTGTGGAATAATTCCTTGCAGTGCATACTGAGTTTTTTTTCATATTTGTTTGTATTTAAGAGACGATGATTAAATAAATATAAATGACACAAGTTTTTTTAATTTTATTTTTGATAAATTCATCATTATAATAATCAGGTAGTAAAAAATAATTGTTCGATTAATTGAAAAAAGAATTGGTAGATTTATTGATAAAAAAGTTATCGATAGATGCAGCCCTATATAAAATTTGAAGAAATTCCCTCAAGGCGCTCTTGAGATGTCATGTTGACAGAAATGGGACAGACAAACCTACAGATAGAAGGACAACCCAATAACATAATGCCTCCGGCCTCTGGCTATCACTGGCGCAGAGGCATGGAAAACCTTTTGCTACTAGCTGGTGATTTACAATAAATTGGATACAGAACAATTTTGAGGTAATTGTAGTATTTTCTCTTATAATACACATCCAATAAATTCGTTCCTTCAACATCACTGAATAAACCAGTGTCCACAATGCTCTGCAGTTTATCAGACTAAACTAGACAATATATTCAAAACGTGAATGCAACACAGCCGAAATCTCCCACAAGAACTTGAACGCAGCACAAAACAAGGTGCAGCTTCTGGTTAAGTTTCGTTTTCTGGACTGAAGCGATGGAAACGAAACAGAGATTGATCCTCTGATAAGAAGTAAACAAACATTACTGCAGAGAACTAGATAATAATCCTGCAAATCCCATTTTAACAGTAATTAACAAAGAAGAGAAAATATTTATGGCTTAATGTATATCATTGTATTATGGATGGGTGGATGGATAAAAAGATAGATAGATAGATAGATAGATAGATTACTATGTTACAGCAGCAAAGTATCATGCAACACTAAGCCAGAAGTAAAAGTATTGACAAAATAAAGGATAACAAAATAAAAACTATATATATCATTATCAAATTATCATCATTATCATATATCATTTAAGGCATTCCTATTCTTATGAATTATCATTATTATTATTGTTATTTTACCTAGTGTCCTTCCATCTGTGGGTGTACTTCGTCCCAGTTGTCCCCTTGAGTTGTGTCCACATGAGAAAACGCCTCCATCCCCTGACAGGAATAAAGTGAACTGGTCCCCGCAGCAGATGGAGGTAATATCCCGGGGGACGGTCCAGGACACCGGGCTGAGGGCCGTCTGTGGCCCGTACTGTCCACTGGAGCTGTCACCCCAACAGTACAGCTGCACCATGTCTGCTGCTGAAGCTCTGAGCTGAAGCTCTGAGGTGAAGCTCTGAAGTGAAGCTCTGAAGTGAAGCTCTGAGGTGAAGCTCTGAAGTGAAGCTCTGAGGTGAAGCTCTGATATGAAGCTCTGAAGTGTTGACTCTGATGTGAAGCTCTGAAGTGTTGACTCTGAGCTGAAGCTGTGAAGTGTTGACTCTCTGAGCTGAAGCTCTGATGTGAAGCTGTGAAGTGTTGACTCCTCTTTATACACAGTCTGTTGTTGGCTCTGCCCTGAGTCAATATATCTCACGCTGCCTTCGCGTACCGTCGGAGTTACCACAATCAAACTAGCAAATATTCAGCTAAACCACCAATTCTGCCAGTGCAACATATTCTATCTCTCTTTGTTAAACTTTAAATGTCAAACATGATTTTTAAGTTGTCGCTGGTTAAATTTGACCAAAAGGCAAAACAATGTGGTAAGTGGCCTTATTAACGAGCATAGCAGGAAACAGTGAAGGCAGCATAAGGGCAGCCGAACTTTCAGTATTCAAAACTGTGAAGTGAGGATGAAGTGTTTTTTAAAAGTTTTCACTTTTATGATATTTTATAATATAATTAGGAAAAATAGATGGGATTGTGTGTTTTAAATGATAAATGGATTCAATGAAATAGTATCTACATAATATTTAAAACACAGAAAATGGTAAATGGTCTGTATTCATGTTGCACTTTTCTGGTCTTGGTGACCACACACACATTCATACAGTGAATCTGTGTCCAGCACTTTCTCTGTACACACTCATAACCCTCAATTTGGGGTTCAGTATCTTGCCCAAGGACACTTAGGCATGCAGAATGAGGGTGAGTGGGATCGAACCACCAACCTTTTAGTTACTGGACAGCCTGCTCTACCTCCTGAGTCCAATAAATCAAAGCCAAAAATTTCATTTTAAAATAAACTTTATAAAAAAAAAATGTTTTGGCTGTAGAAAAGTAAAACTTAAGATTATAGAATGTGATGTACACATACAGAATGGTTTTGCATTTTAATACAAAAACACAGACATAACTTGGCATTTCGAGCAAATTACTTTATTTCAAATAAATGTGCCAGTCTTCTCTGTGGTAACAAAACATTATGATACAGAGTGCAGAAGATGTGGTACAAGCTGATTGGCTGTTGGTTTTGGTTTCACTGAAATGAAAGTCCTATTTTTATTTTCTAGCGAAGGGTTTATCATCATCCTCATCAAAATGAAGACAAAGTGAAACTGCAAGAATAATAGATAGAGATGTTGTATGGTTAGAAAACACTTTGTCATGTTTGGCCTAGAAGTGCAGGAAACATATGAGACTTCAAGCATCTTTACACCTCTGTGAGTATGACATCTCAGAAACTCACTGACGTAACTTCTTTATATTTGTAAAACATTCACTTTGATCCAAACTGAAACAACTGATTAGAGTTTTGTGGTCAAAGGTCACGGTCCCGAGACCTAATGTTCTTGTGAACATGATGGTAACAAAATCCTTTAGTGCCATGTGAACACATTATCTTCAGAACACATTGAAAAAAATTATTTCAAATTTGGCACAATTGTTCACGTAGACTCGCAGATTAAGTGAATTTGATTTGAGTGCTAAAAGGTCATTGGTAAAGGTAACAGTAAGGTCAAATGAATCTGGTTGGCGGATGTATACAGGGTGGTCATTCTAGGTCATTCCTGTAGTAATATAGTTTTTTTGTGTTTGAACTGAAAGGAGACCTGCCCTGACTCAACATTAACTGATGCTACAGTTTCTCTATAAATATTGCAATTATTCAGATGTGTTTAGTTTGTTGCAATACACACATTCAAACCCACAAGTCAGAGTTTCAGTCTCTGCTTTATGTCTCTTATGGGGGACACAAAAATATACATAAAATAATATCTAATATCTAATATGTATCACATCTGTTGCTTTTCACATTGTTTTCCGTGAAAATCTCATAATATTTTCAAAGCGCAATCATTGTCTATCAGTATATGAAAATATTAAGGCCATATAACATTGGGGGTTGCCAGGGGTAACCAGCTGACTGGTGCTCTGTCAAAGGGGCACTGCTTCACCTCACCAGTTATATTTTCTCTGCACCTGAACAATTCCTCTTTGTCAAACAAGACGTCCGAAAAACAATACGCACCGACAGACCCGTCCTCAAAACCCACATACACACATTGCTGCCTACACACGACCAGAGTCGATGGATTCTTAGACAGACTCACACTCCCTACTCTTTCTCCATCTGCAAGTCGTACAACAGTGAGGACAGGCCTCACATGCAGTTCACAGACACAGGTTGTCTCCAGGCTGATGTAGGCGGCAAAATATCCACTTTCGTCCATGCAGACTTTAATGATGGGACCATCGGCTTTGAACGAGCACAGTCTGACCTGAGACAGGTCCAAGAGGTTAATGGTGTTATTATCAGTGGACAGCAGGGCATATCTACCATCGGAGGACATATGGATGTCTTGTGGCTGACACTGAAATGTGTATGGCAGCTGAAAGTGCCTGCACACGGTCTGGTCTGCTACCTTCCATGTGTACACTGCCCCTGAGGCAGCGATCACCACCACCAAGTCTGGGTGCTCTGAGAGTGTCTGGAAAGCAACGACATGGTCTGAGCTTTCCACACACGAGAAGCGCTTACTGATGGAGCCTGACCACAGACTAGCAGCCAACAGGTCACCGTGGCGATGTCCGATGAGGAAGGTGCTCTCAGAAGACACCTTGGCGTTGGATAGGTACAGATGTATGCTGCACACAACTCTCCCATTTGCCAGCTTCCACACTTGAGACAACCCTTGCTTGGAAATACTCACCCCAAACTTATTATTAGGGGTGATCATGATATCTGTGGCTCTGCTTCCATTAATACGCAGGATGTTCTGCCCTGTTTCTGTCTTCCAAATGTAAATCTCCCCTGCTGAGAGTGTCACAAGATGAATGTTATCTGCAGAAAGACACAGTTTTTCCACAGGACCATCATGTAGAAAGTTGGCATCTGGGAAGCCCGTCTCTAAAGTCCATCTCCACACTGTCTCTGACCCGTCTGTAGTATAGAACCACTGCCCCGTTTCTTCAACCACCACTTCCATCACCCCACGCCCTAATTTCAGAGCTGCACCTGCAGCATCTATCATCTCAGAGTCCCACACTGTCAGACAGCCGTCGTGAGTGACACAAATGACATCTGATGCTGTTTTGAGGAGCGCGTGGGGCTGCTTGTTTGCTTCTAAGGAGAGGACACACTCTCCCGAGCTGACCCTCCACACCAAGACGAGGACACAGGCGTCAAACAAAGCAAGGAAAAGGTGCCCACCCTGGGAGAGCATAGCCTGAGCGAAGGCTTTCCCTTTTGGAGCCAAGAACTGGTCCCACAGCTCCCAGTCGCATGCATCCCACAGTGTAACCTGGTGAGACTGACACACCAACAACATGTCAATTTCATCAGAGTGATCTGTATTGAGGACATCATTCGATTTACCGCCAGTAAATCTTTTTTTTATGAGTCTGGGTGGTCGAGTTTTGCTCCCCACATCCCATAAAGTTACGTTCCCCGTCATGTCAACACATGCCATTTCCCTCTCATCTTCACTAATGATTATCTCTGTAACCGCTCTGGGGTTTGAGTTTGAGCTGCTGCTGAGTAAACCGCCAGAGACTGTGTCAAATATGGAGACTGTCCCGTCCTCCAGCCCGCAGAACACATGCAAGCCATTAGATGAGCAAACCAAACGGGTCACAGAGCTCTGACACTGGAAACGAGTCACGCTATCACTGGAAACATTAAAGACACTCACAAAACTCTCACCTCTCCACCACATGATTATCTGTTTCTGACATGAAACAAACCCCTCGACTTCCTTTACTGTTTGATGGCTTGAATTTGGCTCAACCTCGGTTTTCAAAGTGTCTTTCACCTCCAGAAACATTTCAGGGCCTGTCACATCCCACAAGAAATGTTTGTTGCATCTTGTGGAAAACAGCATGAATCGACCACTGCTCTTCACTCCTGCGAACTCCAGCTCCTTCTGCTCGCAGCTCAGGGACACCTTCACCACATCACACCCAGAGCCTTTCCAAATCCAAGCAGAGCCATCGCCTGTGATCTCTGCCACAATCCCACACTCTGTCACAGCTGCTTCCACCACAGAAACGCACTCGATTTTGGTATCACACTTCAAACACTGAATGGGGGGGACAGAGGAAGGAGTAGGACAAATCAGTACACCTAACCCACTTCCTCTTTCTCTCCTCTCCCGTCTGATCTCCCTGACGTAACCTTGGAGTTCAGGAATGAGCTCCAGGTAAGGGAGGAGGCTTGTTTCCATCACCACAGGCAGCTGCAGAGGTACAGACTTCAGTAAGCAAGCAGAAGACTTCAGCGTTCCAGCGAGGAGTCGTCTTTCTCTGAACACAATCTGTGATTTGCTATCTTCCAACATGGCTACCAGTTCTCCTAGAAGACCTGCTTGAACCATAGCCTGGTGGAACTGCAATGACATTAATAAACCACACTCCAACTCCTCCCATCTGCCGCTTTGTTGCAAATGATATGGCAACTCTACAATTCTTCTCAAATCCACCTGAGGGGTTTTGGATGAACAAGTGAAGACAAACGGCTGCCTGTCAATGTTCATTTTCATCTCAGCTTTGTTTGGTCCACATGGGCCGCTGAAATAATCTGCCATCTCTGAGTGAATCTCCTTCCTCGCCTCCTGAGTGCTCAGATACCTCTTAGCCACCACCAGCTTAAAATGTCTGCTCACCCACAACAAAACATGCAACCTTGCAGACGTCCTCCTAATGAGAAACCTCCTCAGATCCAACAGAAGTCTCTCCACGTCTATTTGTGGGACGCTCACGCTGGAGGAGCAGCTCTGGCCCTGCCAGACATATTCAGAGTGCACCTCATTGTACCCGGACAGGAGGTCGGCAAGCTCGACCTCGGCGAGCCCGGTCCTCGAGAGGGTGAGGTAGGAGAGTGCACGAGCCACAACAGAGAAGCCATGTTTCTTCTCAAGGTGATGCAGGAATGCAGAGATGGATGCGTGGATGCCGTCGGGGAGAGATGATGACGTCACATCTGAATCTGGTGATGGGAAAAGGAGAGACAATAAAAGTAATGTAATATTTTAATAATATATTGTATCTAATGATAGTCATTAGTTTTTCATATTTCATAAATCCAGAGGTGTGGAAAGTACAAAAAATAAACTAAAATACTCCAGTAAAAGTAAAGGTACCACATCAACTTTTCTACTTGAGTAAGTAAGGAAGTACTTGATTTCAAACACACTTTAAGTATTAACAGTAAAAGTACTTTTTGGTGTTTCTTCACTGGTGGTACTGATGCTGCAGGAGGCGGGGTCTCATGTTACATGAGTAGACCACTTCCCTTCTCATTAATTGCAGCACACTCATAAATATCAGTCCCTGATAAACATCTCTGATTATGATTATTCTCAAAGAAATCAAGGACAATTTCGAAAACATTGTATCACACTTTGTTAGAGAAAGAGAAAAAGGTTTTCTAAACCTGCCCCCTAATCCAGATCTGTGCTTCCATTACCAATACTTTTACTAATACTGCTAAATACAGACACATGCAGGAAACCTGACCTCCTTGGTTAGGAAATCATTTTCAAAAGAAAGACAGACTATATATTGATGACCCATTTTTTTAAAGATTTGTATCTTCAGTGGGGAGGAATGGGCTTCTGGACACGTGCTCGAGACATGTTAGGGAGGCTGGATATGATTGATGTTGTTGCTTTAGGTCTTTTCATGAGTTTTGATCTTATAAAATAAATAATAAAATAATAAATAACTATTCTCTTTTTTGTGTATTTGTTTACTGTCATACCGGAGTACCATAGCGAGGTATGTACATGCAGGAGACGAGCATAGAGAGTCAGACAACAGGAGCTCAGCGCCTGGTTCACCAGAGCCTGTTGTCCTGATGTTATCTTCCTTCCTGATCTGCTCAGCAGCGACGCCAACAACTTCACGCACTCTTTCCTGTCCGCCGATCCCAACCGTACACAAACGTATCCCGACTCCTTCTCACTGCCCTCTTGGTAACGTAGTTTAATGGCCTGTAAGAGATGTGTTCGGTTGGAGGAGACTGTGAGAATCAGTTTGACTCCAGGAGGGAGGGGAGACGGGATGCTCTCAATGATCTGAAGACAAACTAATTTGTTTTCAATTTGATCAAGGCCACTGAGGTTTAGAAGCAGAGGCTGTCTGGGAGAAGGCAGACGGGACAGGAGGGAGGAGAGACGTTGTTTAAGCTCAGACACCCTGATGTCAGGTTTTATGATGCCGGGACACGTTCCTCTGGGAGCTGAGCTTTGTTTGGTACCAAGGTTTAGGTTTAAGTCAGAGGCATGCTCGCTGGTGGGGGGTTCACACTGGGAATTCAGAGTTGCTGCTGGGCCACAGTTGGGGTCTGTGGTGGTACCAAGGTGGATGCTGGGACCCTTTTTAGAGGAAGAGTCACTGTGGTATCTGTTTGCTATTTGATAACACAGACTGGACAACAGGCGTGTGGGGGAAAGCATCTGCTGCAGGTTGTAAAAATAAGTGATGACCACAGGATCGCTGTGTGGAAGCCATGACCTCATCTGTAGAGAGAGACAGAGACAGAGAGAGACTTGTCTTCATGTAATTAAGACCATACGGTACAGACTCCTGTAGCAATGACTCACAATGTGAATCTCTGTCATTATGTTTGTTTACACCTGATTTCTTTGCTGATTAGTGGCTATTTTCTCTTAATGCAGCTAATTATAGATACTAATTACATTTTAATCTCTATTAAAATCATCTGGAGTAGAGCTGGAAATTCCAGGTGATTATTGTGATAAACAATTAATACAACAATTATTTGCCCAATTATTTAGCTGCTGCAGCGGATACTGTTAATAAGTTGCTAATACTTTTTCTGCCACTAAATTAATATGATTTATCAAATAATAATTTTATTCTTAAGTGCTTCAAGGCTGGACAAGAAATGTCTTATTCCATTAAACAGTAGATTACATTTTTTAAGTGAAATGGAAGAAGAAAATTGGTGAATGTTCGTCTCACTTAATAATAGCTCTGTTTTGTAGCTTAATTTTACTAACCGACTTCCTGAAATGGAAACTATATAAAACAAAAAGACAATGTCAGTTCAATAGAACTGAGTTAAACATTTCACTCACTTGTTGAGCACTGTGTGCCAGCAGCACTGTCTTCCCTGTGCATGGCCCTCCTAACACCACTAGTGGGCACTGTTGGTCACTCTGCTTCACATAAGCTCTGATCTACAACCACAGAAAGTAAACATCAGTGATGCTGTGGTGCTGAGAAAATGTTAGAATTACATTTTGATAATACAAAAATCACAAATCATAAAATAAAATAAAGCAACTGAACTGTAAATCACTGAATATTACAGTTAAACTGAGCACTACTACTTGTTCTTAATCTCCCTCAGTTATCAATCCTTCACCCTGCAGAGCAGTGGGGACCATACAAAAACAAACTCCTTCATCCTCACCTCCTCCTCCTCCGGTCGAACGACGTCATAAAATCGTGACAGGGAGTCACACAGCTGCTCCTGCTCGGCCCACTCTCGGGTCAGTGCGTCACCGAGCTGCGTCTGGTTGCAGGTTTCTGACGTGTTCAAGCTGTCAATCAACTCCATGAGGTCAGAGCACGCCTGCCGGCACAGAGACTCGGTGTAGCCCCGCCTCCTGGCAGATGTGTAACCATGGCGACGGTTACACTCTGTGGTGGTGGTGTAAACTAGAATCCAACAGGAAGCGATGAGGCCGGGGAGGAAGTTGTCACTGAGTTCTGAGAGTAAATGTTGGTCAGATGGTGTGAATCTTAGGTCTGAGGCAGCAGCCTGAGAAGACAGGAGATGGAAATAATTTGTGGTGCAGTGGTTAACCAAAGGTTTGGTGAACTGGAGACTGTAAATTGATAGTTGGCCCTGATTGGCTCCAGCCCCCCTGCAGCTCTAAAAGGATTTGATAGAGCTACTTCTACTTTACTACACAAACAGTTTGTAATAAATATCATAATATTATACAGATATGTGAGAGAAATGTGTGTATAAGTACATAAACAGTACATAAAGTACATAAGTACATAAACATAAGCTGTTTCTCTGTTAGGAACCTCTAATAAACTTTACTTAAAGATGCAGGATAATGTTACTAGAGGCATAATTCTCATGCCACATTTACTTGAAACAAGGTTTTTAGTTAATATAGACAATTTATTTCAAATAACTATAATTGAATGCACACAGCTTTTGACACACACTGTTACAGCCCCACTAGCTCTTTCTATACATACAAAAACAGTTTGTTCAGCTTTGACAAACTTTTATCTCCTTTCAAATACAAATTTTCATAACTAAGAACAAAAAAGATGAGTGGTAATAAATAAGTGAAGCAGAATTCTTTCTGGGTGCATGGAAGTGACTGTAATGACTCCAGTATAATGACTATGAGCCTCATTGATGTGACCTGAGTGAAAGCGAGGTGTGTTATGATATCATGAATCGGTGGTGCAGGGTAATTTAATGCTCATGAGAAAGTGATGGGAGATTTGACCTCTGACTGTGAATGTATCCGTCCTCGCTCTGTCTCTCGCTCAGCATTCACGACCTTGTTGACGTACACCAGGCAGCGCCCAACGGTGTCACGATGAGGACGCTCGTCCAGAGCAAATCGCAGGTCTGCTTCGAGGGCTGGAGAGAAGATGTTGAGTAAAACACACACACACACACACACACACACACACACACACACACACACACCGTGTATATCTAACCTGATGTGTAGTATGCGTTGCCTCTCTCTGGGGTCATCAGATTATTGTGGACACACAGACTCACAGTCCTTTGAATTAGCTTCATCAGCTCGTCTTCTTTAGCCTTCATCATCCTCTGCTCTTCCTTGTCAACTCCTGCCTGATTCACAAAAACAGTTTGATACTTTTAGAAAAAAAATCCACACAAATAGCTGTGGTGTCTCATTTGATAAAAGTAAAACCTGATAACACTGTCTCTAAAAGTAAAATCACACTGTCACCGAAATACAGTTATCTGACATTCAAAGTATAAACACAATATGACCTGACATCTCAAAATGTTTTATAAGTAAATAAAATACTTTTAGAGGGCTTTAATTTTGAAGAAGCATTTATCTACTGGTTTGTGGGTTTGTTTTTAAGCAAAGACTACTGGGCGGTCTACCACTAACCTTTGTGGAGCAATGCAAGAAAAAACGTTTTTTCTTTTATTACTTTATTTCCCAGGGAATAACTTGTGGATCGTGATGTATTAAATCTGGTGCAGCTAATCCTAATTTATAAACATAAGTGAAGATGTGGGGTGGAGTACAGTGAGTCAACCCTGAATTAGTGTTGTTCATGCCTGAGGCCAGCAGGGGGCTCTGTGTGGTGCTCTCAGGCAGTAGGAGGGAGGGATGGTGTTCTCGTCCCTCTGGTAAAGTGTCTCCAGCCCACGGGTGCTGATGCCCCCCCGCTGGCTTTGCTGCAGCAGCAGTTGGAACTCTGACACCTCCACCTGGGCAGGAAGACCGGCTGCACCATACTGGTGACCTACCAGAGCCTACAGCACCGCCATGTGGACACAGAGGGAACATCAGGGTGTAAATGAATCTTTAAATGCAGATTAGTACAAATCTGCACTAGTGCAGTGCCTGTGTTTAAGCTCCTGAGCTACTTCAGAATTATTATTTGTCTTGAGTGAGTCCTCCTCAGTTCTACAATATACTGTCACTTTTCATTGTTTTGGTTGCAGATCTTTTTACAGATCCAGGTGTTCATCCTACCTGGTTTATTTGCAATGAAGAGTTTATAGTCTATGTTTTTCCATAAAATAAAACTGCACTTACTTTATTACTGTTCATGTCTGTGGCTTATATATAAGCTGTTCTACTATACACTCATTACATTATAACTGGTGCTTATTCATTTACCAGTAAAAAAGGTCCAGACGAGTTCTCTCTGCATTCTTTGATCAGCTGCTGCCTGGTGTTTTCATCTGGCCAGCGACTGCGATCACTGGACTCAAAGGGGTCTATCACCTGCACATGCACACACACACACACACACACACACACACACACATAGCTAGAAGAGTTGACTGATAATTCAGTTTATGAAAAGCACATAGTCAGGTGCAGTAACAATCACACTTTGGTAGCTCAGTGAGGTATCATGTTCCTCCATCTTTGTAATTACACATGCTGCTGAATGGAGAGAAGGTAAGTGAGCTGGCTGAACTGCCCTGAGGTGATCTGAAATACACACATGCATGAATGCAAACTAACAGAGTCACATTACAGCTGCTCACCTTTATATTCTCCTCCTTTTTTTGTTAAATTTAATCAGACGAAGGTAGCTGGAATTGAATGCTGTTTTACAGTGATGGCCTCTGGGGGTAGTGTTAAAAGATATAAGACACACACACACACACACACACACTGCACAGCTCCTCTCTTTCATGTGCTGTCTCTGAAGATACGTTTTTGTGAATTATTTGAAATAATTTAAATTTTAAAATATATGCAAACCCTAAACAGAAATCAGAAACTGATAAGAAGCTGATATTAACTTCACGTGATACAAATATATACTTTAGATTTTACTCCAGTGAGAGAAAATATGCTAAAAGATTTTAATTAGACTTTCAGTTTATCGGCTAAATAAAATAAAATAATATAACTTCATGTGAATAATTTATTACAGAGTTTCGTCCACTGGGCCACACCTGAATGCTCCTCTGAGTTTTAAAGGCCTTTCATAGTAAGTGAGTGTGCTTGTGTGTGTGTCGATGTACTCACACTGAAGTCCAGTCCCCATGTGTGTCTGCAGTGCTCTCTAAGTTTGGGGAAAACGCTTTCTCTCAGAGCTCTGCGCTCTACGACGCTGTCTACACAGAGAATTAACACAAACAGGAAATGTCTCACAAAAATATCTGAGAAACAACCACAAAACATAAACATGTACGTCTACTCACCCTCAGGGTTAGAGCACAGATAGAGTTTCACACAGGACGGGCGGCAGGTGGAATCCATTTGTTTCCCTCTGGAGCACAAGACAGATGATGAGCTATAACTACAAACTTACAGCACAAAGAAAATCAGCATCAGCAGGTTTTCATGGATCCAAATGAATAGTTCCTAGTCGCTGCTTCTGCTCTGCATTGTCGTGTATCTTTTCCCTCCTGCTCCACTCGGGAAATCCTCGTTGATTTCATGTCACCATGATCACACCCACTTCTAGAGACTGTGAAACACACACACTCTTCAGAAACACAAATTATAAGTTGTGTATGTAACACTCACATTTCTAGGAAAGGTGCATAGAAACACACAAATCCACACATACAACTTTTGAATCACACACTGAATGAGCTCAAAAAACAGCAAAAACACACTTTTCCATATTTTTTTATTAATTAACATTTGTACACAATAAATACAAACTTTGTTTTTTTGTACAGCCAATAATAATAATATGCAGAAAGACGTTTGCATCTTTTCTCATTATTGTCACCATGGCAACAGTCTGTGAAGAGGGAGAAGGCCAGTTGTTCCACCACATCGTGAATAACTGCAGTGTTAGAGCTGCTGCAAATCCCAGGATGAAAAATATAGAATTATACAATACATTAAAAAAACAACAGGCTCATACCAAATAAGTAAACACTGTAGTGAAGCAAAGGGTCTGTTAAAAAGGGAAAATAATCATGTTCAACAAGCAAAAGCAAGTTTTATACTTGATAGATTGACTGATTTTAACCCTAGTGTGTGAGTTCTGTGGGACCCTGAAGTAAACCATAAACTTCAAAACAAGTTTGAAAACCAGTATAAATAAGATCTCAGAGAGATCGAGGAGAGACTGTTGCTCAGGTCGCCCTGACCACACGCTTACGAGTCAAAGCTCTAGTTCCCAACAGCAGAGGAGCAGGGGTATGGATCTAAACTTCAACTAACTCCAGATTAAAATAACAATAATGCCTAACTTTGTTCAGTGCAGATGCTACACAAAAATGTCTTGTATGGAAAACGAAGCAAAAAACCAAAGAGTGTTTTTAGTATTTTGACCTTTTTCTTACATCTCTTTTTAATATGACCATTCACCTTCACTTTTCAAACCAGTCAATTTAAATTCTGAAGCTGTGTCCCAATGTCCATAATAATACTATATAGTTACTTTATCGTAATTTAATATACTTTACAGTTGTGCAATAATTGAGTATGTACTGTGAAACTGCAGGTTGGAGCAGGACTGATAAATATCACTAAACAGAAAGCAACACAACTCAAAAAATTATATTATATTCTTGATATTTTCCAAATATCAAGAATGTCTTTTGTTTTTTAGTTAATGGAGCTCCACAATTTCCTGTGTGTGGGCAATGTGGGACAGTGGTGTGTGTTCATCACCAACACACTCAAGAAAAAAGAAAATGTAGCATCCAACCAGACATGTCTGTTTATTTCCAATGTCTCCAGTGTGAAATCAAACCCTGCTCAAAATAAATATGTAGAAAAGGAACTGGGCAAAATCTTCAGAGTCGAACACAGATCTGATCAAAATTTCTCCTCTCTCCTATCAACAATTACACACGCAAACCGCCCGGCCAATCTCAAGACCCAAAAAGAAATACACATTTTCTCCATATTTTCATTCAAAAACATCCCTTACTGTAATTTTTTTGTTTGTTGTTTATAAATTAAGAAAAACACCAATTTACATTGTCCACAATTATCTCTCAATCCCTTTAGAAGAGCAGAGAGTTAAAAATCAAAGTATCAGTCACACTGAAACAAAGAGGATCCACTGCAGCGTTGGACTGAAAAGAACGACTCTAACCATCTGTATTTGTAACGACAGTTATTCTTCAGTCATTTCTAAGTGTCCTGCTGCTACGTGGAGGAACTGCTACTCTCCAGGGAAGGTACAAATAAATAAAAGTGCTACACTGGAGTTTAAAAGGCTTGACAGGTATTTAAGGGGGAAGATTTACTTTGAGTAAAAAAAAAAAAACAGCATAATTCAGCTTTGAATGTCATTTGCTACTTCAGTATGATGTACTCTTTCTATACATCTCTTTTTCTTTTCTGTTTCTACCAAGTTTAAAAAAAGTTGAAATGTAAGACACCAGGAAAAGATAAGGGTGATGTTAAATTGGAAACTTTAAAGGCTCGTTTGTTTTCATGGATGTTTTCTCTGCTCCATTAAAAAGCCAGACTCCCATAGCGATGTGAAGGAGATGCTTAGCAACAGAGAAAAATAATACCTGCGAATGTAATGCATGTCATCTAAAAAAAAGGATATATGTTACAGGTGAATAAAATCTATGATCCGTCGGAATAAAAGTCATACAGTTCATTATGTGATTATTAAAATCTCCTGACCCCCAAAATATTTTGGTGTATGTATCATCTCAAATAAAACTTTTTTCTGTCACCACATAGTGAATACCAACAATTTCAGTGCCTTTGAAAGCACCACTCTCCTCCTCCTCCTGAACCATAGACTATATAAAGATGGACGACATGACGGTTCCCAAAAGTGAAGCCAGAGTGCCTTGATCGCCACCTGGTGGCTGACTGCAGTATAACCCCACCTTCTCCATGTTAGTAGATGTGACATGAGCCAAATTATAAAAGTCAAAGTGTACATCAAATAAGATTTTCTCAAAGATAATTTCTGTCATCGGTAGTTTTAATTAGTTGCTCGATGCTCTGAAATACTAGATGAAACATCATGATTGACAGCTGAGACTGACTCACGATTGGTCTAGCATGTATATCGGCGGGACTTTGCTGCCATGGCTCCATCCCCCAATCGCTAAAGACTCTAGCTCCAAAAGATGGCAGCGTTAATATTCAAGATATTTGGCTTCATTTCTGGACAGTTGAGGAAGTGGAGATGTGTCGTCCATCTTTATACAGTCGATGTCCTTAACCAATCAGTGATACAACCACAGAGCAGGTCACAGAATGATAGAAAGATATAGCAACATGTGTGTAATACCATGTATTCATGTGTGTATATGATAGCTACTGATCCACACTGACTGCCGATGGACAGAACAGACATTTGAGAGAAGAGGGAGCGAAAAGAAGGGAGAATGGAGGAAAGGTGGAGTTAAGAGCAGAAGGGAGGATCCAGCCTCCTTTTACTCCTTTTGTCCTTCCTGTCCTCCCCTCTCTCCTTTCATCCCTCCTTCATACTGTATTTACAATGCCCTCTCAGTATAAGACAAGAATAAAACTTCCACTACATATCAGACATGGCCGTCGACTCAGCAGAGTTAGTCTATATGAAACGCTGTGCATAACATTCCTATGACAACAGTAATGTACTGTACTAATACACATTGAGTACGTATGATGATAAGGACTATATATGGTAAGCGAAGGGCTGGGGAGGGGGACCCTGTGTCCACACACCCAGTTTCTCTGTCCATTTGCTTCAACCCTCACAACACTCCAAAACATGACCAACAAGTTTTGACCCACTCCCTTCCTTCAAGCTAAAAGTCTACGGAGCCCTAACACTCAGACACAAAAGGTTGTAGAAAGTTATCAGATATGCCAAAAAATGTAATATGTTTAAAAGTACTTTTTAAAATCAGGATAGAAATGTGAAAGCCTCTATTGTACTTTAATATTCCATTGACTTTTATTTACACTAATATTTTGGTATTGGCACATATTTAGTTCAATCATGTATATTATTTTTCAAACACTAATTGCCATGTGGAAAAGTTCTCGTATATGTACTTGTAAGAGCAGTTTAGTTTTGGGCAGTTAACTAAACTGAACACACTTATTAGCTAATTATAGCCACTATTCTGAAGCTAACTTCATAAGGTAGATATGTTTTGAGTTCAATTAGTTTCACATTATGAGAAAAGAGACATTAAAGCTGTCACATAAAGGATTATGTCCATCCTTTATCACTTCCCTTATTACACAGGAGAGCATAGTAAAGAGACATTTGGTTACACACATTGATTGGTAAGTTAAACGAGCTCAGCACCAATATTCAGTTTGCCATCTTGCTGTTATCTGTCTTAGGTAAGTATTTATATTTCAATATATCTTACTGCGTAATGCTGTAGCTTTTTTAAATTTCCCTGAGGGAGTCTTCCCACAGTGATCAATAAAGTTCCATCTAATCTAATCTAATCTAATCTAGCTAAAGATGGTAAAACCAGATGTCTCTTTATTTCTCTAATGCCCAATACAGAATATGAATGATAAACATTTTATGCACTGACTATTGTAGTTTTATGAAGAGTATTAGCTTCACATAATTGGCAGGAGAGGCATACTCAGTGTGTTTTCAGTGTGTTTGCTGCAAAGTCATCTCAAGTACTTCCAGTAAGTTTTCCCAATTCTTATGTGTATGTGCATTAGGACAATTAGAAATATTGTGAGGAAAAGGGAATGTTCTGTGAAGTTAATTGATAAATGATTAAATATGTGCAAAGACCAAAACAAAAATATAAACAATATAGAAAGTTTTAATTTATTGTTATCTGATAACCCTTTACTATAATTAGTGAGTTTCAGGGCTCCAAAAACATTTGTAAAGCAGAGTGATCTGCCTGCTCAGAGAAACAAACTGCCTTATAATATCTTGAATAAGTTAAACAAGATAAAAGAAAACTTCCTCTTCCTCCTGTCGCTGTGCTCTGGTTTGAGGTGAGTTTGAGGTGAAGTTTTAAGGCAAGAATGGAGGAATGGGGGAGGGTGAGGAGCGATGCGGAGGCAGCTACTGCTGCACTTGATTAGAAATCTAATACGATTATTTAATTGAATACTCTGCCTTTATCTCTTCTCTCCTCCTTAAATGGAGGAGGAGGGAAAGGAAGATGTGGAGTGGCCGGAGGGTGTCGACTTGGTTCACTCCAGTTTACTTCACATCCCTTTACTTGAGCTCACTTCACTTCAGGGCTGTTCAGTTCCTTGGCCTGAAGGATAAGTCTGTCTGTCATCTTGTTTTTTGAATTTGTTGCATATACAACTGCTTGCCGAGTCGTCTGTCTGTCACACCAGTGTAATCTCCACCTCCTCCGTCTTGTCGCTCTTCTCTTGCTGTCTCCGGACGTGTTGTTTAGGTGGAGGAGGAGCAGCCCGGACCTGCAGCAGTAAAAGAAATCTCATTAAACATTGAATTCAAGAAGAAAAACAAAAAATACTTTCTTAATTGCTATTTTGAATGATGAGCATAAGATTTAATAAGAAAAACGGCTTAATAAAAACATATTAATTGCTTTATAACAGATTACGTAATCTGTCAATTGTTTCCTTGAAATATGGCGGGACAAATTAGAATATTTCTCTCACGCGAGAACTTATCTTTCACTCTGTAGTCTGTCTTCCTGTCACTCGGGATCTGTTGCACATGAGGCCGGAGATATACTTTCTGTTTAAACGTCGTGAACGTAGTTGTTCACATACTTACCGATGTACTACGCGTGTTACCGGAGGATACCACTAGAGGGCACACCGGAGAAATCAGACCGTAGAGAACTTCCGGATTTGCATGATTTACACAAGAAACATCGCTATTTTGTTCATTCTGAGATCACGGCAGAAAAGAGAGAGTTGGTATGTAAGGCCCTTACATCGAGTGTGTTTCTCTCGTTCTGCCAAATTGATGGTGAAAAACACCACCAGTATTTTCGAAAGTCTGCCAGGACACTGATGATACACCAAAACACACAGTGAGCCCAGTGAGCCTCAGCAGAGTGGCTCGTCATCACCTTCCGCTTTCTAGCAACAGGCATCAGCGACCAAGCTTCCTCAGCAAGCTACATAATACTACTGCTACACTGCCCCCTACCGGTCAAGCGTACATTGCATCTGACGTACGCGCAGCGTTCATTTCTGAGGACGTACACAACTGACGCTACAAATTGACGCAGGATACGCGAGGCAGCCATCATGCGCACACGCACAGGTAGATAACAGCAAGTATATCTCTGGCCCAGTGCATGAAAGTTTAGACCCATTACCACCGTGGATTCAATTCTGTGGAAAACGCTGATGTCAGGAAATTGAAACAAATGCTCAGTGGGATTTCCTTAAGCTCAAGGTGAAGCAGTCTTTTAAAAACTGATTTTCTGATTACTATTCTACAGATTCATCGACCTAATGTTTCTAATGTTAAACAGCTCTTCTGTAATCCACCTCATTAAGTTGAAATAAAATGACTTATTTTGTTACACTGAAACATCTAAATATATCACACACAATGAACAGAGCACTCTTTACAGAAAACAAGTGTGTCATCTCACACACAAAACACACACTCCTTTCAATAACTTTTGTACTAACAGGTCGTAGTTTCCCAGGGCCTCCTTCAGGGGTGAATCTCAGTGGCTGAGTCTGAGGAAATCCTGGAGACACTGGACTCCTGCCAGAGCTTTGATCTACACAGACACACAGAGAGAGGTTTCTAATGAGAAGTCCCAGTGATCTTTCTCCACTGGTTCCCTTAATGACAATAGTTGTGTTTGTGCATGTGTTTGACTTACTGTGAGTGGACAGCGGTCCCTTGTGTGACGGCGCTGGCAGTGGAGGCTTGTGTTCCCCGTTAAGTGCGGCTGAGGGTGAGCGTGGGAGAGGAGGTGGGGTGGAGGTCTCGGGGCTGGTGAAAGGGCTGATGGGAGGTTGGTCGTACAGCGGAAGAGGGGGCAGAGAGGATGGCAACTTCAGAGATGGAGAGATCTTTGGGTAGAGACAGAAATAGAGAAATTCGTTACTGAAATATTGCTGCTTAATATATCATATCACTGAAAATATTTGTCTCTTTAGCTTCAAAATGCTCCGCTATGTTCTTCAGTTAGTCTCTAACTTTGTCAGTCAGATGTTAGGTGGGCATCTTAAGTTTTTTTAAATGGCCACATGCTGCTGCTGGAAACACCACTGATGACAGCGGTGAGAGTGAAACAAAACAAAGTTGCAGCCAAAACAGAAAGATGACATGAAAGATGCTAAGACATAGAGCTAAGAGAAACTGTGATCATTAGAGCCTGATCGATACTGATTTTTGGGGGCAGATGCAGATACCAATATTAGGGAGTTCAACACTTTCTGATGCAATCTTTCGTTTTTTTAAATTGCAATGATTCCTAAGAAAC